GTATACCCTTGTTCTCCCACTAGTTTCTCCTATTATTAACATCTTGAATTAGTGTGGTATATTTGTTACAAATGATGAGCCAATATCAATACATTATTGTTAACTAAACTTCACAGTTTAGAGTTTACTGTTTGTATTGTACACTCTTTGGGTTTTGACAAATGTGTAATGACATGTGTTCATCATCACTGCATCATATAAATTAGTTTCACTGCCCTAAAAATCTCCTGTGCTCCACCTACCTATCCCTCCCCCTGAACCCTTGGCAATCACTGATTTTTTTACTGTTTGCCTAGTTTTGCCTTTTCCAGGATGTCATATAGTATGTAGCCTTTTCAGATGGGCTTTTTAGAATTAGCAATATGCGTTTAAGATTCCTCCATGTCTTTTTGTGGCTTGATAGCTCATTTCTTATTATTGCTGAATAAATCATCATTTCTTTTATCACTGTTAGACATACAATGGATTACTATTAGATATTGAATAATAAACCCATCATTTTTTAAATAGGGACCCAGAGAGCTCTTTATTCCTCTAGGCTTTCCCCCCAGTCCCCATAAAAACATGTGCACACACTATGGCTAGCAAAGACTAAAAAGGTGCAAGCTTCCAAAAGTGAGAAGCTCAGCCTAAGGAGGTCGATGAGTGGGTCAGACGAGCCCATTCGCGGAGGAGCCCGCCGTTTGCTCAGTCACAGCATCAGTAAAAGACCCCGGCTTTCTGGACCAGATGCTGATATCAGGGACTCCCTGAGCATGTGACTGGCTGGAGTGGTGTGTTTTCTAAGAAACTGCCATACTGTCTTCCAAAGTGCCTGTACCATTTGCGTTCCCACCAGCAATGAACGAGAGTTCCTGGCTCCACTCCTTGCTGGCATTGTGTTGTCAGTGTTTTGGATTTTGGCCATTATGATATTTTCAGATACTGTGAATGTGTAGTGGTATCTCATTGTTTTTAATGTGCACTTTTCTAATGACATATGATATTGAGCATCTTTCCATATGCTTATTTACCATCTGTATATCTTCTTTTGTGAGGTGTCTGTTCAGATCTGTTGCCTACTTTTTAATCAGGTTGTTTTCTTTCTTATTACTGAGTTTTAAGAGTTTTTTGTATATTTTGGATAACAGTCCTTTATTAGATATGTGTTTTGCAAAGATTTTTCTTCCAGTCTGTGGCTTGTCTTTCACAAAGCAAATGTTTTTAATTTAAATGAAGTCCAATTTATCAATTTTTTTTCTTTCATAGATTGTGCTTTTGCTATTGTATCTAAAAAGTCAACGCCAAACCCAAGGTCACCTAGATTTTCTCCTATGTTATCTTCTAGGAGTTTTCTAGTTTTGTGTTTTACATTTAGGTTTATGATCAATTAAGTTACTTTTTGTGAAAGGTGTCCAGTTGTTCAGCACCATTAGTTGATAAGACTATCCTTTTCCATTGAATTGCCTTTGCTCTTCTGTGAAAGATCAATTGACCATATTTGTGTGTATTTATTTCTGGGATCTCTATTCTGTTCCATTGATCTATTTGTATACATTTTGTTTTAAAAGTTCAAAGAACTCTAAAAACATTTATTAATTTTGATGCCAAACAAAAATTTCAATATATTCTAAAAATGCAGAAATTACAGTATTTTTTTGCCACAATATAGTGAAATAAATTAGTCATATGTAACAGTTTTAAAATAATTCTTGGGTAAAAGAAATCAAAATTGGAAATGCTGACTTAGAAACAAAAGACAACGAGAATTCCATATTTCAAAACTATGGCATGTGAGCAAAGCTGCACTCAGGAAATCCTGACAGCCTGAAACAGTTTACTAATAACTGAAAAGTCTGAAAACATATGTTCTTGGCTAACATCATCTATTTATCATATTTTAGATGGATTCTGTTTCCTTGGTCTACTAGCAAAAGAATTCCTTTGAGCGACTGATTTGAATTACATTAACTTTAGAAATTAATTTGGGAAAAACTGGTGGTTGTACAGTATTTAGGTTACCACCTAGGAAATGGCATGTTTCTTATTTTAAACACAGGCTCTCCTATATTTCCTTTTAGAGTTTTGATGTTCTTTTCATATATGTTGCCTCATTTTTTGTTAAGGTTAGTCACTCGAGCATTTTATTTTAGATTTTATTCCCGTTATAAATAAGATCTTTTTCTCCTATAGTGCAGGATGTCCCTAAAGTTCTAGCGTGGTTTAAATTGTCAACAAATTCACTGTTACTTGATATAAATAATTTGTAAAGATACAACAGAGGAAATGTATTAAGCTTTAAACAAAATTGTTAATGATTCATTTGTTCAAATTACTTTCTTCTATATTCATTTAATAAACCCTACATTATATTTGGCAACTAGATCCAGGCGAATTAAAATAGTGGTGAATAGGTTAAAAGTTAATATCTTTGCATTTTATTCTGCCAAGTCTTGAGTTAAATACACTCTGTTGCATTTTATAGAATATTTATATAATATACAGAAACAAATTCTTAAATAGTCAAGCTGTATAAAGATTTTATGGATACCGTGTATTTTGCTTTCTCCTCCCATGGGTGCTGTACAATGGCATACCCTATTATATTATCTAAATGGCTACTTATAGTACGCAGGAAAGATATTTCTCTCTCTGTAGATACCTGTCTCAACCTATACTGAGTGTGGAGAAATTTGTTGCTCACTTCCTCTTTCTTGAAACACTACCTTCACTTGTATGAAGAAACTGGAACCATTCTCTCTTGCCCGCCACCTCTCCTTTCTCTTTCACTTACTGGCTGCTCCATCTCAGTGTCTTTTGGTTACTCCACATCTCTTCTCCATTATGCTTACGCCCTCATCCAGTCTCATGATTTTTATATGCTGATGATTCCCCAAACTTATACCTCAAGTCTAGACCTCGCTCAGACTCATATATCCAATGGCCTACTGGGTGTCCTCAGTAGGCATTTCAAATTCAACATGTCCAAAACTGAACCCTCATTCTGCTTTCCCGGTTCCAACTTGCTCTTCTGGCAGTCTTTCCCATTTCCATAAACGGCAAGTCTATCCTTTCAGCTGCTCAGGCCAAAAACTTTGCAATCATCTCTGACTCTAAGAAATATGAGAGGTACGTGTTTGGCTTTCTCTTTGATTAATGAAATCTAAATATTTTGCAAAAAAAAAGAAATATGAGAGGAAGAGACATGTACCACTTCTGGGCCAGAGCCTTTAACAGTAGAGATTTTAAGACAATTTTCAGCCTCCTCATCTTGTCCCTTTTCTGTGGCCTGCGCATGGACAGCTTACAACTTGGCTTTAACCAGGCAGATGAAAACAGCACCCAGGGAGTGGTGGAGAAACAAGATGGGAGAAACGTGGGCCTCTGAATGATCATGTGGAATGGAGCCATTGCATTTTTGGTTGCCTTGGTTGTAGCAGCTGGCACATCACTAACAAACACACCCTCCTGGATTCGATTTTCAAAGGGCAGCCTTTAAAAAATTAATTCAGACCATATCCTTTTGCCAAAATCCTCTGATGACTTCCCATCTCACCCAGAATAAAACCCAAAGTACTTATAACAGCTTACAAGACACTTTATGATTTGGCTTTCTGCTACTTCTCAACTATTTCTCCCTCTATCCCTTGCCCACTCTGCTCAGGCGATGCTGGCTTTCTTGCTGTCTCTTTGAACATGTCTCAACTACTTGTGTGTCGGGGCCTTTGCACTTGCTACTTCCTTTGCCTAGGAGGCCCTTCCCTCCCAGACAGCTCACCGCATCACTTCATCATCCTAACAGTGCGGCTCTCCTCAACTCCCCTTGCAAAATCACATTCCTACTCTCACACCCCCACTCTCACCCAGCACCTATATACCCCTGTCTAGCTTAATTTTTTTCCATCGAACTTTTCACCATTTGACACACATATATACTTGTTTATTTTCTGACTTCCTGAACCAGAATGTAAGCCTCTTGAAGGAGGCTTTTTTTTTCCCCTCTGCAGTACACATGGCATCTAGAACAATGATCAACACATAGCAGGTACTCAACAAATATTTGTTGAAAGAATAAAAATGTGATTTAATTATTTGAAATATTAAAAAATTACTTTATTCTCAAAGATTCTAAAGCTTTACAGTTGATTTTCTTGGTTTTTAGCTTTACCAACAATTTTTAATTGTCAATTAAGATTATTTCCTCTTGCCTCTCTGTTTCATGCCTCCTTGAATGAACTAGAATTTTTAGAACAATGTTAAATAATGAAAAGAGCAGACATTCTTGACTTGTTCCTAATTTTGGAATGAAGAGACACTGGAGCAGGAACAGTGAACTGAAAGGCCTATTAGTGTCCGACCCAAGTAGCAGAAGAGTGAGAAGTGGCTGGGGCTAAAACCAGAGGGAGGAAGGATGTGATGAAGGAGGGCAAGACTTGTGTAATGGCACTCAAGCTACAAACATTTAAACTATGTTCTTCCTAGAGAGAACAGGTCAGATTCAGCCCACAGGCTATAGGTAGGACTCAATAACAGGGGATTAA